TGCTTTGGATGAAGTTTTTATATTTTTATTGTTTTTATTCAATGATATGTGCATGATTGTGATAAATGTAGGCAGTTCCTTTGAAAATATGCTATGTACCAGGGGTGTCAAACTCCTGGAGGGCCGCAGCCCAGCAGAATTTAGTTCCAGCCCTGCTTCAACACACTACCTTTAGATTTAGTTTGATCAGGTGTGTTTAATTAGTATAACTGCAGTGTTACCCTGTAGATTGTGCAGTAAATAACTGTAAAATAGCCAGTGTTTTGCTGTAATAAAAGGAAACAGTATTTTACTGTAAAAGGAGTAGACTTTGTATGAAATTGTGTAGTGCAAAGAATAAATTACAGTAATTTATTTTATGTACTCATTACAGCTTTGACAATAAATAGCAAATTACTGTTCAACCATTACTGTCCCATCCACTCTGATGCTTTATGTTGCTAATTATAGAGACGTGCATTTTGAAGGCTGAAAACAATGATTTGGGCATCACCACACACTCCCACAGGCTGTCTGTCTTAAAAAGTTTTCAGAAAATGCTGGCCCTTTAAGGGAGTCAGGTGTTTGATTTGTTTACTGCTGAGTGTGCTTCATTCTCTGTCCATCAATTCAGATGTAGAGTCTGATATGTTTTAGGCTTTAAATAAGAATCTACAATGAGTAAGTAAAATGTGTTCAAATGTTTTTGAGGGTTTCTAAAATAAGGCTGTGTTTTAAGTTATATTGTTGTTATCTTGAACTGTGTACTTGAAAGCTACATTGTTAGCTAGTTAGCCCCTCCTCATATAACTTCTTACATTTATTGTATATTGCATACTGCCATAATGTACAGATGTTAACAGTTTTATGTATCTTTCTGGCAACTAAGCCAAAATTAAATTCCATCGCCTCAGTAAGATAACATGTGCACAGAAATCATCACAGGGAATCACAAAAACATATGATACACTTAACCATCTACACACAAAAGCTCCACTGTCAGCTCCCAGGTTGTGAGTTTGTTGCTAAGTATTTTTCAGAGCTGTGTTTCCACCTATGAATTTATATTAGAAACAATAGAAAAGTTTGTTGTCATGAGATTTTTTAAGTGTAAAATATTGGATTCTTTGGTTTTTCTGTGTTGCCGACTTTATTTTTGTTTATATAATTATTTGTAACTTTTTATTGAGAATTGAGTTTTTAATTATTTTAAACTTTAACATTTAAAATAATTAGTTTTTTTTTTTTTTTTTGCATGGTCAGCATTGAGGAGAGAGTAACACATTTCACCGCAGCACTTTGTGTGTGTGTTTGTGTATAAAACCTATACCTGCTGCAGTCAACCTAAAACCTACAGTAGGTTGACATAAAACGAAAATAACACCCATTCTTGTCTTAGGACATTTTATTTGGCAAATTTTAAAATAACAGTAAGTATATGTGACCTTTTAAATATATAGTATAATTTGCTGGTTTTAAACATACAGAATGATAATAAATATAGTTATGAAACAACTATAACACCAAATGTTGACTAATGAAAGTACATTTATAACAACTATTTATTTGTTAGACTTCTGTATTGTCAAACCATGTTGCATACAAATGCATTCAACAGACCTATATGACAGTGCATTGCTGTAGAGGACAAATAAAACACGAGACAGGTGTTTAGAAAGAGTATAGTTTATTTAGTTTGACATGCAAACTTATCTAAACAAGACACACTTTCAGAAAACAGCCCGGAAACATTATAATGCGCGCGCTCGTGAATATAACCCGCGGTTGTCTTCAACTGTTGTCTTCAATAGTCCTTCTTTGCTCAACAACTGAGCTGAAAAACAAAGCAAAACATTACAACAGTCAGACATGGAGCAAAGAGCATAGAATTACCAAGAGGCGACACTCTACAATTTGGGAAACAATAACGCGCTTTTTGAATAAAATAAATAAATAAAAAGCAGCTGCTTTCCATCGCGACAGCAATGACGAGCGATCGCTATCACTTGAAACTGGCGGAATCCGGGTCTGTTGCTCTTGGTCATTCTAAGCTCTTTGCTAAAGGTTTAATCATAACAGTTACCATGGTTTCTATTTCAAACTATAGTAAACTAAAGTTTGAAACTATAGTTTAAAATAGAAGATGAGTGGGCCTCGCTACTCCCACCCACCATAACCCTCGCAGCGAGGCCCCACTACCGGCCGCCCGTGTTTCCCCGAGGGTCCTCGGGGGTTGTGTTCTCCCTGCCTAGGGCTCAAAGGCCGCCTCGCTGACAGAGCACACGAGCTTTATAGGAATGCATATGCAAATTTTTACAAGGCACGTCACTGTTGTCTCGCTGTCATGGCGAGCGCTGAGGAGGGCTCACCTGATTGGACCAGGGAATCTGCGTCAGGGCGAGTTGCCGTCTGCTGTGGACAAAAAATATATTAAATATATTTAATATATATTTTTACATTTTTGGTGCTGTGTAATATTCTGAGATACTTTATACGGTTCCTTTTACAGCATCCATGGTGTAAATTAAGCGTTTCCGGCGAATTGAATGCCAATGCAAAATCCGGTGCGTTTAAGGTCTGTTTTCTTTCAAAATCAGCGATCTCCACAAGCTGAGTGATATCCGATTTAAAGTGGGTCTCAGATTGTACAAGAAGCACTGCATTAAATTACATTTCCCCCGCCATATCCTTATAATATGAGCAATATATTTTACCCCAGTATATTCAATGGAGCTTCTGCGTTAGCCTGCCGATTCTGACGGGCGCGTGCGAGTAAACAGCTTTTTGTCTCGTTTTACGCTTGAGCAACTAAATAAATGCAAAAGTTTATTTAACTGAATGTATGTTAATGACATTACAACATCGATGCTGTATAAGGAACCGTATAAAATGGAAAAAAAGTTCACAATAACAGGTCACCGGAAGTGTATCAGCATGGAAACAGCACTAGCTCGGCATATACCCTATTTAAATAGGAACTTATATACATCTAATATATCTAGAAAACTACAGGAGTATTACATACTAAGCAACAGAATCCTGTGGTGCCACAGAAATGTTTAAGTGATACCACACACTACCACAAGAATACCGCAGGAGTATTACATACTGTACAACACAGAAAACATCCCAAAAAAACAACAAAGTACTACACAATCATCACATGGTTTTTGTTTTGTACATTTGATGGTTTACCACATGAAATACCACATGCTACCACAAAAATATTACAGGAATATAACAGCTAATACCACACGCTCTACCACAAGAATATCCCAGGAATATTACATATTGTATAACAGAATCCTGTGGTAAATACTACCACAATATGAAAGTGATACACTACCACAAGAATACTACAGGAGTATCACATACTGTACAGCACAGAATCATGTGGTAAAACGTCCCAAAAAACAACAAAGTACTACACAGTTACCACATAACATTTGATGGTTTACCACATAGAATACCGCAGGTAATGTTTGTAATGGAGGGTGTCGGTCATCTTGTTGTTTCAATTGCAAATTTATTCCAGTACACAAACATTTGCACACTGAAAAGTTTTTACAATAAATATGAATACATGTGATGTTACTTTGTAAGAATAGGTATTTCTTAATTAAACGACTTAAAACATACTGATTTTACCTTGCACTGAGAAAAAAAAAAATGTTTTAGAAAAAAACAGAACAAAAAAGCTAATTCTTGTGATATTGTACTGCAGAAATTGCTGTAGCAATCCTGTGATATTTAGCTGTGTTGGTATTACCACACAAAAACAACAGAGAAACCACATACTTCATCCAATGGTAAATTCCTGTGAAATTTCACTGCAGAAAGGGCTGTAGTAATCCTGTCATATTTAGCTTTGCTCATTTTTTTGTGTGGTAAATTTATGTTGTACTGCTGAAATACCACAGGATTACCACAGGACATTTTTGTAAATCCGGTCGCACACCAGAAGCGAACTTAAGTCCAACTTTTGTGCTACAGAAAAGCCCAACAGTTTGTAACGACATAAGGGCATGTGCTAGCTAGACAATATTTTAAATGTCATCCTCTAGTATTAATTATCATAAAAATTCACATTTTCAAAAGAACTCCTCGTATTATAGTAAAACAGATAGTGAAGGGTTAACTAGTGAGTCTTTTCGTCATTTTATTTGATTTCTTTTTTATTACTACAGGTTTGGAACAACATGAGGATCAGATTATTTATTATTATTATTAATTTATTTTTTTTGCTTTGGATGAAGTTTTTATATTTTTATTGTTTTTGTTCAATGATATGTGCATGATTGTGATAAATGTAGGCAGTTCCTTTGAAAATATGCTATGTACCAGGGATGTCAAACTCCTGGAGGGCCGCAGCCCAGCAGAATTTAGTTCCAGCCCTGCTTCAACACACTACCTTTAGATTTAGTTTGATCAGGTGTGTTTAATTAGTATAACTGCAGTGTTACCCTGTAGATTGTGCAGTAAATAACTGTAAAATAGCCAGTGTTTTGCTGTAATAAAAGGAAACAGTATTTTACTGTAAAAGGAGTACACTGTAAAATGTAATTAGTTGACCTTACTTAAAAGTATGCAAACTCGTTGCCTCAAAAAAATTAAGCAAAGTAAACTTAAGATTGGTGAGTTAGAAAAGCTTGTTTTTTTTAAGTGTGCAGTACTAAATGAAGTAGTACCACTAACACGTTTTTTTAAGTTCATGTAACTTAATAGCCATGATTAGTGTTAACTTAATTTTTTCATTTTGTGTGGATTGCTTGATATAAATTTAACCCCACTTAGAATTACTAAATACCTACAACTTAACACTTTCAGTTTTGCTCACTAATTTTTCAAGTTCACTTAAATTAAAGAAACCAATTTCCTTTAATGGGTCCTTGTTGTAGCTGCCCAGGTTTGGGTCCAACATGTGGCCTTTTCTCTTCCCCATTTCTTATAAATTTTTGCTGTTACTATGTATTAAAGGCAAACACAACACAAACATATAATATAAAAGAACACTCACTGGGTTGATTCAGCTCCATTACAAAATTTATTCAATGCACATTCAAGTACAAAACAGCAGCTAAACAACAAAGTTGTGGTTTGTTCAACTGTATAAAATGAAAAGGAAAAATATAAAATAATTAAATAAAAACATTTCTGTGAGATAATTCTATGCATGTAACAGTCTCCCAATATTAAACAGGTAACTACTGGATGACTTCAGTGCATGCAAAATCAGTGCATTTCTGATCAAAACCGAAAGTACAACAAATGCTTTTGTTTCCCAAAGTGAGCAGTCAAAGGATTAAACCAACACAAATAAAAACATCACTCCTTGGAGTTTGTGTTTGTACTACATTACAACTATGAAAAGTTTTCCCAAAACACAAATGTAAACAGGATAACCTTGCTAGGTTATTTTCTGACATTATCATCTAAAAACAACTAACAACTCATTGCAACACAACGTGGCATTATTTCCACCATTAGCATACCTTCATAACATGGTAGACTTTAATGGAATATTCTTTTTTTTTCCTTTGAGAACGTAAATAAGTGAGAACAGTTGCATGAAAGCATCAAACTTTCTCTGATAAGAGGAGAACATTAATGGCTGCAAAGCTTACAAAGTGCTATCTGACAGCCGACGGCTCTTTACTGTTCTAACCCAGAAGACTGTTCTTCAGAGTTAACAGTTTTGGTGGGAGGTTTTTCTTTCCCAGTCCAAGCATCACAGTCTGAATGAAGTTGAGAGTATTTGCCATGCATTTTGGGTAATCCAAATGCAATGCATATGTAAGACCAAACAAAAGACAAACTGCCTGAGGCAAGTTTTTAATATGATCCATGACAATAACTCCCTCCAGAATGATGGCAGTGGAGATGGGCTGGAGGTCCACTGAGCTTTGACCCTCGTGAGGATTATCTTCACTGACAACTGTCAGCACACCAACAGTGATGGATTCTAGGACCTTGTCTCTCTCTGTATCCTACAAAGACACACATTCTTCAGCATTGCAATTTATGCTGTTCTAAAACATTCTTTTTTTAGTGTTGTATTGTTATCAGAGAACATGGTTTTAAATGTTTTCACACTGGATTGTTACAATAAAGCAAACAAAATATATTTGTAATGGTTAAACTAAAGCTATGGAGATACAAAAAGGTCTATACATTCCCAAAGAGTGACACTGACTTTTCAACCTACAAAATACATCAATCACTGTACAAAATGTATATTGTATATTGAGCAGATAGAATTACACCTGTCAACGCAGGTATAGTTTTATGTTCATGCAGAGTGAAGGATTACAAATTTAAGAATATGTTTAAGATCTATGGAAGACATTTTCTGCCAAATTTAAATAAATTAAAGGACTAAAATGAAAATTTAAACCAGATTAACCATTTCATTACAAAAAACTGTATGCAAAATGTGTGACAAAATTGAGAATGAAATGAAATTATTTCATTCTCATGGTGACAGTGCATCATCCCAGTCAAATTGAAAAATAAAATGCAATTGGTGATTTCACATTTCATTTTTACTGCAGTCTCGAGGCAAGACAGCAAAATTAAAATGAAAAGCCAAACGTGAAAAAGAAATTACAAATAGTTTTACAAAGCTCTTTATTAACGCTCACGCAATAATAGTGACAACTCAAATTCAAATTGTAAATTTTAGTTTTCATTTTAATTCCTCTTTTATTTTGGTAAAGTATGTGTGTGTGTGTGTGTGTGTGTGTGTGTGTCTGAGTCTGTGTTTGAATCTGTGTGTGTGTCTGAGTCTGTGTTTGAGTGTGTGTGAGTGTGTCTGTGTTTGAATCTGTGTGTGCAAGTCTTTTTGAATGTGTGAGTGTGTGATTGCCTGTGTTGGAGTGTGTCAGTAAGTTTATGTGTGTCCACCTCCTGGTCCAGGTTGGTGCGAGTGTGTCCACCTCCAAGTTTGTGTGTGTGTGTGTGTGTGTGTGTGTATGAGTCTTTTTGAATGCGTGAGTGTGTGTGAGCCTGTGTTTGAGTGTGTGTGTGTGTGTGTGTCTGAGTCTGTGTGTGTTCAACTCCAGGTCGCTATGTTTGTCCATCTCCAGGTCCAGTGTCAGTTTGTGTGTGTGTGTGTGTGTGTGTGTGTGTGTGTGTGTGTGTGTGTGTGTGTGTGTGGTGTGAGTGTGCCCACCTCAATCTCCAGGTTTGTGTGTGTGTCTGAGTCTGTGTTTGAATCTGTGTGTGAGTCTTTTTGAATGTGTGACTGTGACTGTGTGTGTGTGTGTGTGTGTGTGAGAGTCTTTTTGAATGTGCGAGTGTGTGTGAGCCTGTGTTTGAGTGTGTGTGTGTGTGTGTGTTTGAATCTGTGTGTGTGAGTCTTTTTGAATGTGTGAGTGTGTGTGAGCCTGTGTTTGAGTGTGTCAGTAAGTTTGTGTGTGTGTGGGTGTGTCCACCTCCAGGTTGGTGGGTGTGTGTGTAAAATTTGTAGCAATAGCAATGTCTTTAAGTTATCTGACACTAAGTGTTGGCCATGGAAATGTATACTTGTCAATAATATTATATGATATATTTAACCCTTTTCTTGTGCCTTGATCAGACTTAACTGCAGCAGCTCGTGTTCTCAATAAAGAATCCTGCTGAAGAAAGAACCAAGTCTCCTGGTCTTCAATTCTAAGTGTCCTACAAGACCAAACTTTTTCTTATGTGCAAGTACTTACAGAGCAGGTCTTGTAGAATTCACTGGAGTCATCACCGAGTAAAATGGGAATGCCTTTGAGGACAACAGAGCGAAGTACTGTGACGTCTGGTGTCTAATGATACACAGAGAGAGAAAAGACCAGTTAACAATTTGCAAGGCACAAGCAGACAGGAAATAAAATAGGTTGGTCTGGATGGTCTCATTTAGAACTTGATTGATGAACTATCACACAGATCAAAAGCAAAATGAACCTACTTACCATCCAGCTCATGTGCTGCATCAGCTCCCTGAGTTTCTGGCCAACAGTTCCCTTTTTTGTTTTGAAAAGTTCAATGAAACGTGGGGCATACTGGTCCAGAGCCTCAAAGAAGTCTCCCTCAAGATTCTTACTGGCGATTCTATTAAACTCAGCAAACACCTGAAAAAGTAGAGAGGAGTGGGTAGGGATGGAGAGGTGGCAGAGGGATTAACATTTCAACAAGTATTTGGATTTCTAGTCACACACCTTGAATTTATTTTTAATTTTTCATTATTTTATTGGTTGAGAACAAAAATTGCTTACCTGTCTCTCTATGAAGAGTGCTGGCCATCGTTCAACCATGTTCTGTACAGCAGGCACCTTTTTTACAATTTCTTGTCTGCGTAGTGGGAATGATTGGTCCATCATTTGTGAAATGAGAGTGCCATTTGGTTGTTTTTTCTTTATTTCTTCCACTAAAACCATTCTGGCATTTTCTAGACTTGTTTCATCATGTCCTTCAGGTAAGTTAGGCAGGTAGTTTGCTTCACCTCTTCTTGGCCGCTTGATATTCTTGCTTGAGGAATCTCCCTCTGGGTTGCCTTTACTTCTTTTGCCTCCATTGATTGCTACATCCTCACATCCAGCTTTTCGAAGCTTTGTGCGATAATTGGCCATCTTAAATTTAAGGCTATTTTTCCAGCCATACCATCTGTGTGGTCCAGGCTCAGTGAGGCAGGGGTGTTTGCTAATCAGTGCTTTTGCAACACTGCTGAAGTTATCATCGTCAGGGTAAGCCTTGAAACTGTACATCGTCTCAGCAAGCTTTTCTAGTATGTCATGCTTCATATCTCGTGGTAGAGTCATATGTGTTTCATCTTTCATATAGGCAAGATCTGCCTGTCTGAGCCTATACTCAACATCTACTGAGAAATTGGGTATGTCAAAGAACTCTGGCCACTGTTGTCTTAGCGATGGTGATGCTCCTACAGGCGACAGGATCTCAGTGTCTGCTGTGCTGCCCTCAGTGTCTGATGTTGTGGTGGGTGATGACAATGCTGTTAAATGGAGAGCCACAAGAGGGATGATTTTGACTGTAGCTCTTTCAGGTAAATCAGTTATTTCAGTCAAATTGCAGAGGGCATTATTGAAGTCTTGATCTTCATACTGCAGTTTAAAGTCATACTGCAGTGACAGTTTATCCACCAGTTGCACTTTGAATTCTTCAATGGACTGTGGTCTCTTATTTAAAGTCAACTTCCTTATATCATCTTCAGCGATGATGACTCTCAGTAACAACCTCTGGTCCATTTTGATAACTGTTTGACTCTCTCAGCATAATATGTGCCGTTTCAGTGTGACAAGCTGCTTGTCTACAACTCTGTAAAGTGAAATCGGGAAAACATCATTTAATTCAGACAACTGAGTGACAGAGAACGTGGGCAAATGGCTACTACAGAGCTCGTACGCTCTAAGATGCTCATTGTACCATGATTTCATAAGTCTGCAGACAAATATTATGTCTGTATTGATCACCACAATCTTTGCTATTTGTCTGAAATCTGGCAGCCCTGAGCACGATCCAACGGAAATTACCATATTAGCACTGTACTTAATGCCATCTATGCAAACAGAAGCTGCTACAAGGACTGTGTTCTGGTTATTCCTGAGATGGAGACGGTTCTTCACATTTTCAGGAAATGAAGCAACCATTACAGACTTCACTTTGTTAATTTCAACAGATGGCTTGAAAAAGGAGGTAGCAGCTAAATGGAAGGCTATCATATGCTGGTGTCTGAGAGCTAAAGTAAGGGGTATGTTTTTGAAGTTGTGAATGTGACGCACAACTTTCTTGAAGAACTTGTGTTTGCCTTCAAAACGCATTGTCCACACATCACACAATGGACCAAAAGTTTGAATTAGTTGAGGATAGTGCTCAATGTAGTGGTGCTTCGGTCGTAGCTTCTCATTCGGGAAAACTTTCTGAAATATATCTCTATGTTCTGCAATCTTGCAGTCAAGAAAGCACACTGACTCCTCTGAGAAGCTTGCAGACACTGACAATTCCACTACATCTTTTAAGTTCATTAAAACCTCCCAGGTTTCATCCCCCTCGGGAATGTGATGACCTATCAGTAGTGGCAGAAGGCGAAGGAGTGTCCAATTTTCATGACCATTTCCTCCAATTGTTGCTTTGGAAGCAAAGTTCTTTGCGATGATCTGGGGTTGGTTTGTTCTGTCTGAAAATGTATATGGAAACTGTTTAATAGCCACATTCAGGATTTCAAGTGAGAAGTATCCCTTTGATATTAGTGCCTTTAAGCACAAAGCCAGTTCAGCCGGAACAACACCCTCCAGAAGATCATGCAAAAGGTCTGGAGGATACCCATTGACAACATGAAAATGTTCCAAGCTTTTACTAAGTGGGCAGCTTCTTTTCACGCCATATTGTTGAGCCATGGTAGGATCCTGCAATACATCTTGCACCTGTCTATCATGATTTTCTTTTGTTCTTGATGGAAATGAGCCTGTCCTCACTTCCTTGTGTTGTATTTCCTCCCGTTTGGCCATACAGAATCGGCACATCTGACTTACTGTGAAGCTCTCAAAGAACCCTCCCAAAGAATGGGCAGCTAAATTATCTGCTGCAACAAATAATACTGTGCCTTTTATGCTGGCTCCTAACTGTTCAACATATACACCCTGTTGCTCAAGAAAAACAAGGTCCTGAATGAGTGGACGGAGAATTTCCCCATAACCATGGTCTTTGAGACTGCTGACCTTGCAAAGTAGAGCAAGCTGAATGGAATGAAGAGAGGAGCGATATTTAGGGTGTAGATTTCCAAGTACCCAGTAAATGGCACATAGCTTGTGTTTCTTTCTGGAGGTTCCTAAGGGGTTAGCCACCTCAAAATCATCTATGTACAAGCAAAGAGCAATCCTGAATTCTTCCTCTGTCAAGAGAGAATTGTCTTTAAACCGGGAACCATCCCTGTGAGATCGGTATCCTTGTGACAAATTTGGCTCAGGTGACATGGCCTTATCTAAAATGTCTCCATTGTTTAGCAATGTCTGCAGCATTTTTAGTACGGGGATATACACAAATGTCTGCTTGTCATCTTTTAGGACAAACTCAACAGGCGTTACCACTGAGAATTCTTTTGAAATGTATGATGTTCGCTTGCTAGTGGTTGACAATGACCCCCCAGTAGAGGTGAATTTTAGGAATACATTATTCTCAGTAAATACTTTAACTATCTCACTCACTAAAGAGTCCTCAACATCTCCACAATGTTGATTTAGTATTTTTTTAACAGATGTATGTAACAATGGCTGTGAAAGCACATAAATTTGATTGATCTGCTCTATAACTTCTTGCAGGGCATTTTCAGAGATGTTAAGAATTGATTTCATTTTCAGAAATAGAGCAGCTACATTATGTTCCAACTGACTCTCCAAGTTCTCCACATCTTCACTGAGCTCAGTAACCTCAAACTCAACCTCATCAGTTTCAGGGGCACTATCCTCGGGTTGAATATTTGTATGAGGTGGAGGTTCCTCAAGTTCATTATGTGACACAATTTCAGGTTTGAATGCCATGTTATTGTGGTCTTGATGTTCTTTGCTTTTATGTGCATTAAAGGTTGAATAAACATTGCTCTGAAAGTTACAGCCTTGATATGGACAAGAAACCTTTTGCTTCAGCTTCAAATGTCTTCGTAAATGGGTAAAAAAGTCAGCATCAGTGCAAGGCTCCACAAAGTCACACAGCTGACAATGGAAAGCAGTTTCACCCACGTTCCCTAAGTCCTTTTGAGTGTGCCATGTTGATAAGTGGACTTTGAGTGCATTGAAAGATTTAAATGTGCACAGGCATTCCTTATGAAGGCATGGTAGTGGTGATATTCGAGTGTGGCACCCGTGTTTTAAGCGGTAATGTTTAAGTAAGTAGCCCCTCTTTTCAGCACAAAATGTGCAGTACTTACATGTCCACTGCATAGGAAACGGTTTGTCGTTTTGAAAAATCTGAAAAGAAAGAAAAGATAATTTTAGCATCAAGCCTAGCAACATAAAAAGACAAAAACACTAAAATGCAGTATCAGATTTGGAATACCAGAGCTATGGGTAAAACTAAATCCTTGCAAAAATCTAATTATCAAGCTTTTAATCAATGAACTTCTTTAAAACTATAGTTAAAAACTATTTGCTAATTTCAAGTTGTTAAATTAAAAATAACATTTTATTGTTACTAATTTTATTAAATAAATGTTTTCTTGATTGAAACAAAGCATTATTACTTAATAATTAATTTATTTTGTTGCAAATAAATTGTGTTGAAAATCATGTATCAAATTTGATACCTGTTGTATAAAATTATTTTCCGAACAATGATGTCACATTTTTGTAATGTAATCAATATAACGCCTACTACAATGCAAAAACACTGTTTTTGGATGATTAAATTAATATAAATAGAAACTGAAATACCATTTTAAAATACATTGTGTGTATTTTTACAATAATTTATAATCGATAAACTATATTGATCAATTTCTGTGTATTTTTAGATGTCAAAAGAATAGAGGAAGATATTACAAAAATTAAAGTGTCTTGAAAATGCCTTCAGCATAATAGTCTATGGCAATTAAAGTGACAGAGAGAAGTTAAGGAAAGAGGAGGATGCCTGACCATGCATGATAATGGTCATTCAGACAGCAGTGATGAGGAAGAATATCAAGAAGAAAATGTAGTTTAGACACGCACAGAAGTAAAGGTCCCAACTACACGAACACAGTCAGAAAGCAGTCAGCAAAGCAGACTCCATCCTTACTTATCTTCCTCTAACTGCACTATGGCACTTTAATTGCCATCTATTATTATGGACTCTGTATATGTAGAGTATTGAAATAGTTTGCCACTGATGAAATGCTACAGGACACTGGAGAACAAATAAGCCTGCACAATATATTCAAAGATGGCAAGTCTATAAACACAGATGCCAAATAAATTCAGAAAGTCCTAGGCATGTACATGAACATGCACCCCATAAAAGGTCCATGTTTATGTACATGTGCTTTTTTAATGTTACAAGGCATGATCCTGATCATTTTCCAACATGGAGAAACCTGACAGAGATAAAAACACTGCACAAGCAATGACTTCTCACTTCTGTGTACCGTGTAAATGTAAAGGGCATCTTTGCTTGAACAAGAACTGAAACTACTAGTGCGCCTACCACAATGTGAAATAATAAAACACTGTAAAATGCTTAATGTAACAAAAAATAAAGAGATAAACTGCCTAAAATGTTCTCTTTTGTCAAAAAGAGAAGGGCAAATTCATTTTTTTGTAATTAAAATTTTCTATGTTTTGAGCAAAAAGTTGCACAAACGCCTGATGTATCAAATGTGATACAAAATAAATATCATGAAAAAAATTTATATTTTTATATTTATATTTTATGTATAATCTGTAGTCCTGGTTATGATGGACTATAAATCGAACCCACAGTATCTATGGAGACAGTCCAGAAATACTAATTAAATCAAATAGTTGAAATTCTAAATATGCACAAAATATTCTGTATGATGAAATATACTATAATGAAATAATTTCAACACACAAGATTTTCTAAGCTTTTGTTGTAATCCAATTGCTCTGATGTAAGCATAACTTTTACTTTAGCATGCAATAATTATACAGTTATTAGTTGAAAATACCTTTTATTGCTGGGATTATGGAATGTGTGGATTGATCACCATCTGCTTGAGCCTGGAAGGGGGCAGTTAAAAAAAAATACAACAATTTAGCACAACCAAGTACATGTGAAACCTGTAACATAGGCCAATAACCCACAATGACAGCTCCCAGTATTAAAATGTACATATTATGTACAAGATGACCTTAAAGAACAATGTAAGCCACTGAGTATGCCAGCAAATATGTTCCCTATCATAGCAGACTATGATAAACTCAGTGTAAAGATCTTTTCAGACAGGTAAACACTCTTGTCTGTAGCGAACCAAGACGGATCTGGGTAGTAATATTAAAATATATTAAAATACTATATTAAAATAAAAGGATACATCCAGACTTGTTCTGATGTTCTGCCTGAGCTTACAAACAACAGTTATAAAACTCAGGAAACTCCCAAACCGCCGGGATCAGTCTCTCATCATCATGCTAGCTGCTAGTCAGTACTCGATGACAAATGTTACTTGCATGGCAGGTGGGCGCGTGCGCGTGACGAGCACGCCCGCGACCGTTAACGTTACTGCTACATTAAAGTTTTTCCTCAATTTTATCGTGACAAAAGTCTTGAAAGTTACCTATTTTCAACACAGAGGAAGTTATGGAAGTTTCATCAAAATAGAGTCACGTTATGTCCATAATATAGTTAGCTAGCGTTAGCCGACATTACTACACACATCATAGCAGGCACAAAACACTGGCGCTAACTTACAGAAACAAAACGATCTGCGCAAGGGTAAATTAAAATATTTACTCACCAAATGAGTGTGCCAAGCACAAGAATCGCTGTTATGCTGACGATAATCACAAGTGCCGTTGAAGCGATGATTAGGTCCAGCTCAATGATATCCAGCTTCATCTGGGGCCTGTTTCAGAAAGCAGGTTAACTGAAAACTCAGAGTATTTTAACCCTGAAATGAGAGAAACTCTGGGTTTTCCGTTTCAAAATGGCAGGTTTGTTAAACTGGAGAAGGCAGGGTAAGTCAAGCCTGTTTCTAAAAGAGAGTTAACTTTAACTCAGAGTCAGTTACCGTGGTAACTTACTCTGTGAATCTAACCTGGTCCGGAGCAGGTTTTATTCTCTAAACTCAGAGTTTCTGTCGGTCTCCTCCCCTTTTTAAAGATGAAGCGGTATTTCTCGCATTAGTCTTACGTTTCCACACACCTATTTTAGAGCTCATTTTGGAGATGTGCATAAAACCGATTGATGGAAACGTCATGATGCACATAACTTTTGAAAATACGCATAATATAACAAGTGCATAACTGAGTGGGTTAAACTTTTATTTGATAAGATGCACATAAACTACGAAGTGCACTTAAATTACAATGTACATTAAAAAATGGTTTGTTAGAGATGATAAAAATGTGTGTGAAAAAACAAACCAGCAGACTGAGCACACTGCAGAACATCTTAAATGGTGTTTTAGTCAATCTAAAATGCATTTACTGTTTCAGTATTAGTGTATATTATTAATTACCTCCGAGCGTCTGGAGTGTGTCAAGATCTCCGCGTCTGGCTTCAAACGCCCCCACGTGTTCATTGTGTGTCAATTGTCTTCTGAGGCTCAGGTAAATTAATTAAATAAAAAATCATTGATGCAGCTTCTTCTACCGCAGTAATTCTGTTTTTACTGTTGATATTTGGCGCAAGTTAATCAGGAAGTGGCGATTGTGTTCTCTTCGACTGTTTGGATAAAAACGCTGCTTTATTTTTAGGCGTTATTCCAGTTTTGCACAAATTTATGTAATAGCCTATATTTTGATGGAAACACAGCTATTGCCTACATTTTTGTCACACACAGAACAAAGTCACGCACGAGGCTTGTCCTTTTTTTCCATAAATAATTAGCTTAACCTTCGACATGCACTGTTACTAGATTAATGGGATTATTATTCTGTCTAAAAATTATTTTATTACTGCTTACCTTCTTAATGTCATATCAACCTCTATCACTTGATCAATAAAAAGGCAGACACAGAACAAGTGCACCGTTAAATCTATTAAAACTGATAAAAGTGTATAAAAGTTTAGATAAATGTATAAACGTCACACATTACATTACTTATTTTATTATACTTAAAATGTTTAAATACTTAAAATTAAAAATTAGGCATTAACTTGAGCAGCTGTTTTCCCACGCTGTTTCTGTTTCACTGATGGTTGCTTCTTTTCAAATATATACGTTCATATTTGCTATAACTTTGCATGAGAACATCAAGTTCAGCTGGAGAAAGAAATGCTGATCTCTTTTATAAGATGTTGCCATAGTCACTCGTAATGTCTGCGCTCCATTGATAATGCCTTTTTAAAGTCACGGTGTGCGCGCTTCACTCTGAGTTGGTCTACTCGAAGTTGATTGACCCAACTCAGATCAGCTGTTCTGAAACCGAAAACTCTGAGTTTTTAATCTCTCGGTAAATCAACTCAGAGTTCAAGTTTAAACTCTGAGTTGTTTGAACCTCCTTACTGAAACAGGCCCCTGGTCGGTCAGTTGCGGGCAAGACGTGACATACCGTTTGCAAAATTACGAATCCCGCCACGCCAAGACCCGCCTTACGAAGCAGCTTGATTGGTTGGGGATGATTGATTGATCTGCGCATGCTCACAGTGTCATAAACTTACTTTTTCTAAATGAATCCAGCTCAAGTAAACTGAGCTGGTAAGATTTTTCAACCTCAAAGTACAAGTAACTTACTAAAAGTGAGTGTTAATAGCAGGTTGATAAAAACTGATTAAGGTCAATTTACTATTTTTAATTAAATACCATGTTTGCATTTACAGTGTAGACTTTGTATGAAATTGTGTAGTGCAAAGAATAAATTACAGTAATTTATTTTATGTACTCATTACAGCTTTGACAATAAATAGCAAATTACTGTTCAACCATTACTGTCCCATCCACTCTGATGCTTTATGTTGCTAATTATAGAGACGTGCATTTTGAAGGCTGAAAACAATGATTTGGGCATCACCACACACTCCCACAGGCTGTCTGTCTTAAAAAGTTTTCAGAAAATGCTGGCCCTTTAAGGGAGTCAGGTGTTTGATTTGTTTACTGCTGAGTGTGCTTCATTCTCTGTCCATCAATTCAGATGTAGAGTCTGATATGTTTTAGGCTTTAAATAAGAATCTACAATGAGTAAGTAAAATGTGTTCAAATGTTTTTAAGGGTTTCTAAAATAAGGCTGTGTTTTAAGTTATATTGTTGTTATCTTGAACTGTGTACTTGAAAGCTACATTGTTAGCTAGTTAGCCCCTCCTCATATAACTTCTTACATTTATTGTATATTGCATACTGCCATAATGTACAGATGTTAACAGTTTTATGTATCTTTCTGGCAACTAAGCCAAAATTAAATTCCATCGCCTCAGTAAGGTAACATGTGCACAGAAATCATCACAGGGAATCACAAAAACATATGATACACTTAACCATCCACACACAAAAGCTCCACTGTCAGCTCCCAGGTTGTGAGTTTGTTGCTAAGTATTTTTCAGAGCTGTGTTTCCACCTATGAATTTATATTAGAAACAATAGAAAAGTTTGTTGTCATGAGATTTTTTAAGTAAATAATAATTATAACAATAAAATATTGGATTCTTTGGTTTTTCGGTGTTGCCGACTTTATTTTTGTTTATATAATTATTTGTAACTTTTTATTGAGAATTGAGTTTTTAATTATTTTAAACTTTAACATTTAAAATAATTAGTTTTTTTTTTTTTTTTGCATGGTCAGCATTGAGGAGAGAGTAACACATTTCACCGCAGCACTTTGTGTGTGTGTTTGTGTATAATACCTATACCTGCTGCAGTCAACCTAAAACCTACAGTAGGTTGACATAAAACGAAAATAACACCCATTCTTGTCTTAGGACATTTTATTTGGCAAATTTTAAAATGTAAGTATATGTGACATGTTAAATATATAGTATAATTTGCTGGTTTTAAACATACAGAATAATAATAAATATAGTTATGAAACAACCATAACACCAAATGTTGACTAATGAAAGTACATTTATAACAACTATTTATTTGTTAGACTTCTGTATTGTCAAACCATGTTGCATACAAATGCATTCAACAGACCTATATGACAGTGCATTGCTGTAGAGGACAAATAAAACACGAGACAGGTGTTTAGAAAGAGTATAGTTTATTTAGTTTGACATGCAAACTTATCTAAACAAGACACACTTTCAGAAAACAGCCCGGAAACATTATAATGCGCGCGCTCGTGAATATAACCCGCGGTTGTCTTCAACTGTTGTCTTCAATAGTCCTTCTTTGCTCAACAACTGAGCTGAAAAACAAAGCAAAACATTACAACAGTCAGACATGGAGCAAAGAGCATAGAATTACCAAGAGGCGACACTCTACAATTTGGGAAACAATAACGCGCTTTTTGAATAAAATAAATAAATAAAAAGCAGCTGCTTTCCATCGCGACAGCAATGACGAGCGATCGCTATCACTTGAAACTGGCGGAATCCGGGTCTGTTGCTCTTGGTCATTCTAAGCTCTTTGCTAAAGGTTTAATCATAACAGTTACCATGGTTTCTATTTCAAACTATAGTAAACTAAAGTTTGAAACTATAGTTTAAAATAGAAGATGAGTGGGCCTCGCTACTCCCACCCACCATAACCCTCGCAGCGAGGCCCCACTACCGGCCGCCCGTGTTTCCCCGAGGGTCCTCGGGGGGTTGTGTTCTCCCTGCCTAGGGCTCAAAGGCCGCCTCGCTGACAGAGCACACGAGCTTTATAGGAATGCATATGCAAATTTTTACAAGGCACGTCACTGTTGTCTCGCTGTCATGGCGAGCGCTGAGGAGGGCTCACCTGATTGGACCAGGGAATCTGCGTCAGGGCGAGTTGCCGTCTGCTGTGGACAAAAAATATATTAAATATATTTAATATATATTTTTACATTTTTGGTGCTGTGTAATATTCTGAGATACTTTATACGGTTCCTTTTACAGCATCCATGGTGTAAATTAAGCGTTTCCGGCGAATTGAATGCCAATGCAAAATCCGGTGCGTTTAAGGTCTGTTTTCTTTCAAAATCAGCGATCTCCACAAGCTGAGTGATATCCGATTTAAAGTGGGTCTCAGATTGTACAAGAAGCACTGCATTAAATTACATTTCCCCCGCCATATCCTTATAATATGAGCAATATATTTTACCCCAGTATATTCAATGGAGCTTCTGCGTTAGCCTGCCGATTCTGACGGGCGCGTGCGAGTAAACAGCTTTTTGTCTCGTTTTACGCTTGAGCAACTAAATAAATGCAAAAGTTTATTTAACTGAATGTATGTTAATGACATTACAACATCGATGCTGTATAAGGAACCGTATAAAATGGAAAAAAAGTTCACAATAACAGGTCACCGGAAGTGTATCAGCATGGAAACAGCACTAGCTCGGCATATACCCTATTTAAATAGGAACTTATATACATCTAATATATCTAGAAAACTACAGGAGTATTACATACTAAGCAACAGAATCCTGTGGTGCCACAGAAATGTTTAAGTGATACCACACACTACCACAAGAATACCGCAGGAGTATTACATACTGTACAACACAGAATCCTGTGGTAAAACATCCCAAAAAAACAACAAAGTACTACACAATCATCACATGGTTTTTGTTTTGTACATTTGAAGGTTTACCACATGAAATACCACATGCTACCACAAAAATATTACAGGAATATAACAGTAATACCACACGCTCTACCACAAGAATATCCCAGGAATATTACATATTGTATAACAGAATCCTGTGGTAAATACTACCACAATATGAAAGT